TGAGATCATGAAATATGAGTTTGTAAGCATGATAATCAAGTTACGAAACCACTTGTCCTAACCTTTCCGTTAAGGATCATTAATGTTCAATCCTCCAAGGAAAATCAAGACTGGGGTTGTGTAATCTGACATGTCTGGTTTGTTTGAAGAGCTTACTCTAACATTTTTGGCGAATGCGAGTGAAATTACAACCATCACCGAGCAGACAAATTGAGTCGCCTTCTTTTTGATGGTGGCTCAACACCCTCTCTCTCTTTCAATCAATCAATCAAGCATAAGTATTTCCTACTTAACTTTCTACCTCCGTTCCTCGCATTCAACATATTTCCTAAGATATTAATTCCACTACCCTTTCTTATTCAATGATTACAGTAATTTTGTTAACAAATTCACTCGATTAGCCCCCCAGAAATGTCAAATTTGGGTGAATTGGGTAAATAATCATACAGAGGGATCTTAATCGCCGAAACTCTTCGGCTGCTGCGACAAACAACTCCCATCCGATATTCCAGGGATCAAGTTCCAATTTATCTCCATTTTTACACAGTTAATCTTTTCACATCTACAGAAGTATTTATATTCTAAGCACGGGCATCCTTGCTGATTATTTTAAAAATGAAGCAGACCAAACTTGCCATCATAAATCCTCTTATAGTAACAGGCAACCGTACCTAAATCAAGTTGGTATAAATTATAAGTAAGATGGTCACATATTTTCCGTTTACCGAAGTAGATAAAACTCATACCGCTGGTTTTGATCTGCGCATGGAATGATATAGTATAGTATCAGGCCTGTATTCTTCTACATTTTTTCAGTCTTGCATACCTATTATTTGAGCCTATTTAAACTTGTCCTATTTATACTTAAATTGGGTTGCATTAAGCTCATGAGAATCCTTTATATTGCGTTTGTAAATGATTTTTCTGGGATAAAAACTATGCTTTCTTCCAGTATATTGTTTCTGTTACATGAGATGTATTCACCCTACTTCGTTTAAGGCGATGAATGACTGGAAGTTGAATTTTACCACACTGATATGAGCAGAACCGACGTTACCATTAAATTCCACATAGCCTTGCTTTCCCAAAAGTTGTTCCCATCCAGGTTGAACTACGGTTTCGACCTCGCCTAGGTCTTATCAACACTCCCAACGGGAGACGAGGCATGACAGTGCAGCGTGTAAGCTAGACACGGTAACGACTCCGAGAACAACTTTTGAGGAAAAAAATGTTATGCGAACTTCAATGGAAACGTCGGCTCTATTCATATCATTGTGGGAAAATTCAACTACCAGTTCTTCGTCACCTTAAACGAAACAAGGTGAATACATCTCATGTAAATGATTTACTGATAGTGTCAACACTCTGCTTATATATTG